CAGAGGTTCGTCCAAGCCGGCGCATCTCAACTGCTCACCCTTTGTTGCAATTCGCGCACGTTGCCGCTGCCAGGGCCAGTGTACAAAATGGCGGTCGCCGCCGCAAAGGACGGTCGGTCTCCCTCTGTGTGGACACGATGCAAACTGCCGCCTCCGCCATTCAACTCATTGGCCGCAGCCGCCGCCGTTTGACTCGTCGCCTAAGTCGCTCGCCCCCACTCGACTTGGCGCCGCCGCTCCGTCTCCACTCTTGGCTCTTACAAATGGGCCAAATTTTTTGTTTATTCGGGAGGAGTCGACCCTAAAATGTGAGTCAATTTTTCTCTCTTCTCCGTGAGTCGTATACTCCAGTCGGTCGATTTTTTCGCCCCACGTTGGATGATGAGTCGCTTTTCTATCCCCACTGGAGAAGCCCTCATTGTAGTTCATCCCTGCAGTAGTTTGTGTGTACATTGGCTATGTGTAAGCTCGCATATGTACCCACCCCTGTTTGCCACCTTCAGATATATACATGTGGTGCGTGTTTGTGATAACATGTATTCCATATTGAATGAGAAGGAGCGTCTCCTAATCAAACTCTATTACCATGTTAACAAGCAACTTGGCCACAGAACGCTTGAAGCCTAAGCATCATTAGCATAGTTCTGGGCAAGCACACTTGCCTATGGCGACAAGGACTGGCACACCTGCTGGCACCCAGTGGCAATACTCTAAAAAATTCACGTGTACCTAGGGACATTCTATAAGTGTATTAACTTACCTGTCGTGTGTCATGTAACCAAAGACATACTAATACATACCAAAGTCTACTGCCCTGTTCAATTGGCTGATAAGCTATGGCTGAAAGTACTGTTGGCTGATTTGTTGTGAGAGAAAAATATTGTTCGTTGTCTGAAAAAGTATGGCTTATAAGCGAAGTGAACAGGGCGTACGATGTTTTGGCTAGATGGTAGACTATTCTAATACCTATGGACTACTTTTCTGCAACATTGTGGTTGCTCTTAGATTATGTTTTCAATGGTGTTTCAATGCCACGACTAAGTAAACAGTAGCCTACTCACAACATAAAAACAGGCAACCACGGGACATATATAATGTGTCTGCTGGTTGTGCTTCAATGGAACGTTGGCATGGTTAAGATGGTCGAATTACAGACACATGAGCAAGAAATAAAATGGTCTTGATGACTTGGTCCTTCCTTGTGTAATTGTATCTTATCATGAATCTAGAAAATCTAGCATACCCGCACAAATACCTCAGGAATTGCCTTCTACTTTGTCAAGACCATACAAAATCTTACAGACACGGTTTACGCCTCCAAGGCATTGAAAAAGTTAGTTCAAATTTGGTCACCTCCATTCTTTTTAGGTTCATACTTCGCTACTTGACCTGCCAGGTGGCATCACATCATGCTATCTCTGGCCACGCCTTTAAAACCACACCCTCTATCTCATTCATCCCCACCGCACCACCGCTCTGCACTCGCTCTTGTTTTTTTGTACGTTGCAGGTGACGAGCTATGGCCGCGGCAGCCACGCCAAACAACAGCGTGGCATCGACAATGAGGGGACGTGCCTAGCAACACCGCGAGGGGCGTCCGGCTATGGTACGAAGAATGTCCGCTCGTCGTCACACACAAAAGGGCCTGGGCTGGACGGGCGTGAAAGAGCGACGCTGGGGCGGGCTATGGAGATCCGCATCCCGCACATTCGATTCAGGCTGTGGATCGGCATGTTTCAGTATGCCCATCAGGCGGTGCTAGCCTATGATGTCGCCATGTTCTGCTTCTATGGTGAGCGCCTCCCTAGCCAGTGCAAGTTCAACTTCCTGGCTATGCAGCGTCCCATCATCCATTAGCACCTCCGTGTCCACCTCACCATGGCCAACATCAGGGCGATCACTGCGGACTACGGTCGAAGATCTGCTGCCTTCCTTGCACTGCTCGTGTGCCCTACACTACCAGCAGCACCATCGGCACCACCTCTGATGGCGGCGACGGTGCCGGTTACTGAAGCGCTGAGGCAACCACCAGAACTGATGATCATCATGGGAACACCGAGAAGAACGTGGATAGACTTCATGGTCGCTACTGAGTGTCTGATCTCCTACAACCCAAATGATTTGTGTTGGACATGGGACCAGAGCCCTCCTCTATTTTGCACTCAACAGGCAAAGAATCCCCATGGATGTTTAGGCACTGTTTACTCGGAAGTCTGCTTTCTAGCTGTGTAGGCAATAACCGAGTGTTCCTGTTTGGAGAGAAACCATCCCTTTTGTTTGCCGTCTTCTTTTTTATAATAAGTAGTCCTTCGTTTGTTATATCCACTGTATCCCTGTAGTGTGGCTGTGCCTATGAGCAGCAACGAATAGAGAGAGGATTTGTGTTGGGCTGGGCGACTTGTTGCTAACTTTGGGATCAGATGGCTATGGCTCTGATTTGATGAGCCTGAACTGACCAGGCAACTCGTCCTCAAGACAAATAAACAAGATTCACAGCTACAGACATCTTGGAACAGTGTAGGTGACCCAGCATCATTTCATCGAATTGTGTACACGTTCAGCATGGCATTATTATGCTTGATCGGCTTTAAAATGGTTCCTTCTAATTGTGAATTATTAGCCCATAACACAGCATCAAAGGCACTAGGAACCTGATGTTAGCTACAGGAGGGCGGGGGTTGGCAAAACTGCCCTTCACTCATTTCTGCGTCCACCAGGCTTCAAACTTTCAGCGAAATTTCGGCCAGCATTCACGAATTTTTGCTGTTCTTTGAGGTGGCTGCCACTATTGATTTCGGTTAAAGTACTGTATGTACATATCAAATAGGATTTGTGCCACCGAAAATACGTTGGTTCGTATTTAAGCCAGAGGGAAGTTGCCACGTCCACCTTTCAGAAGGTGAAAAGATCAGTCCTCGTATCATCCACCCTACCCCTTTTTCTTTGGAACGTTAGGAACTATAAAACCGATTTATTTAATTTCCTTGGCCGTAATTTCGGCCATGACCAACACTAACATTTGAAACCCTGGCATATTGAATAAGCAGCTGTATAATAACAACAATTAACACGTGCCTACAAATATGAGGGATGCAAACAAATGGTTTGGCTAGCGTTCCCATAAAATTTGGGGAAAAGAACCAGAAACTTACATGAGCACCGGTGAGGGGTGGCGAGCGCTGATGAGCGTGGACTTGACCTAAGCCTCCGTGCGCAGCAGCCATCGATTATCGTTGCCTCTGTGCGTCACGCCGCCGCCAACCCTAGCCTCAGTGCCCAGCCACAGCAGCCGGTTCTCGCCTTCATGCGGAGCCACCGCCGCCAGACGTGGCGACCTTGCCTTCGGGGTAGAGAGGTAGGGCGCCACCACGCCGCCGCGCTGGGGTGTCACCGTGCCACTGCAGGCCGTGCGCCGGACGGACTGCGAGCGGCCGAGGCCGGGGGTCTGGGCCGTGCCGGTGTAGGCCGAGGCCAGATGGAGGACCATCGGACTACCGGAGCCGAGCGACACTAGGGTTCCCGGCGCACGGGCGTAGGGCACAGCGGCGCTTCGGCATACAGCAGTGTCGGGGATGGGGGGTCGACGGACGGGATTGCGGCGGTGGGGATGCGGTTTTTTGTTCGTTTGAGAAAGGGATGCTGTGGTATTTGGTGATGCGCTGACGTGCTGGGCTTTCACGAGTTGCTGGTGGGCCGGATGGGAATAAGCCGTGTCCGTCTGTGGGCTATTTTGATGAGTACGATGGCAGCAGTGTAGAATCTTACGTCTAGTGTCTTTTGAGGATAAAAAAGAACTTAGCTCTAAAATACCATATATGTGTATACGTGCTAAATTTTTTGTAAAGATGTTGGATATGGTCGAGAGTACCCAATGTAGCTGTATGTATATGCACCCCTAGCTTTGTTAGTCAAACATTTGTATATTTTTAACGATTGATCTCCATCAAAATTATATAGCTTCATGCCACTATTTATTTGGTGATTCTAGAAATTGATTTTATTATTATACGGCGGAGGTAATATATTTTTAAATTCACTATGAGAAATGCTTTCATAATATATAATTCATATATTGTGAAACAAAAAAATATTTAATGATGGTAAAGGATCATAATATTTGATTTAGAACAAAGCTAATATAATATGTCAAATAAATAACAGAAGTACCCTTGCGTCGGAGAGTGAAGGAGAGGGCCAGAGGCGTCATGACATAATGGGAAGGGTTAGCCGGTGCTGAAGTTTTAGATAGGTCAGTGGGCCACGCGTATTCACGTTGTGGATGGGCCCTATGGCCTCAAAATTTGGATAAGTCCGTGAATGAGTTAGGGGCGATTAAATTGAGTATGGGAGGGCATGGTGCTAATATGCATCTAACCATACGAATGCATTGCCATTACCATATATATGGTTTAAGTACTAGCACGTAAAAGGGTTCCACATAGAATGATGACACACGTCCGAGACGGTGTAAAATAATATTCCATATTACAATCACCATGTTAGCACTCTTAGATATTAAAAGTGCGGTCTATTTGAACTTTATTTACTTATTACTGACAGGAACTCATACAGACACCCATCATGGGCACTAGCTATGTAAAAACTTATTCACAATATCAATTGCAATAGACCTCACATCGTATTCCCATGCTATGTCCTCCATAATATGGTCTCCTCCACTTAGATGGGCATGCATTGATTTTGTTGCATCTAAGACCCCAAACACTAACAATATGGCGAATTTTCTCAGTTTGTGCTTTTGCAAGGGCTTTTGTATTTGCTTTCATTTCATATATGGAATTAGAAAGACTCGTGCGCCCCAAAAAATATTCTCTTAGTTCTGGCACACCAATTGCCTTATCTAGCCCAGTGTGCTACCGAGTCTTTTGAATCGACGTAGTATTAAAATACTCTTTTAATTCCTCAATTAAGCCAACACGAACCATGTCATCAATACGGCGACTCAGATACTCATTAAGAACCAGCTCATGGGCATGGAGCTAGAGTAAACAGCTTGTGAACCTTAGATTTGGCTTATACCTTGGTATAGTAAAAGGGTTACCAAGGGACAGATCAAGTTGGTCGAAAAGAAATCCATGCATGAACGAGTTTGACCCACCTACTAGAACTGGAACCCTGCCCCATCTTGCAATAGACTCTGCAGTACTTGTTGCCATAGATCGAAAGGAAGGTACAGACAAGTCATATGCAATTGATGAAAGAACCCCAAATAAGTGATGAGGAATACCTCCTTGATCACTTGGGCGGATCTTGTTAGTTGCGATGTCGAGACAAGCATATATTTGCATCTTGTCAGCATTCATCACTTCACCACCAATCGCCTTGGATATGTCAATTGGTAGCTTCGTCTTGCCCGTGCTAGTGGCACCCATGATTACCACCGGTTTAATCGACAACATCTATGAGATATAGTTCGATCTGGTGAAGGTGAGGGAGGTTGCACTGGAGTGGTGAGGGGGAAAGTGCTTATGGCCCTGTAAACCTTAGGTCTACCAGTCCGCGGTGTAGGAAGAGTCAACTGTGTGGTGGAGCGGAGGAGGGAGGTTTAGCATTAGGAGCACTGCTAATGTAGCGCTGCCAAACTAGGCATTGTATACACGCACACATCATCAAATCTACTTAATGCTTCCAACTATATGCTTCGCAGACGAACATAGAATACACACATGTAATAGCATAATAGGAGGACAAATAAATGGTATATGGACATCTACAAGACCGCCATCAACATGTTGTCACCTCATTGTCGCATAGGCCACTAAAGGCGCAGCCATGGACCACAGGACGTATCGCCTCCTCCTTGCCAACCAAGCAATAAAAGGCGTGCCCGTGAAGCATCGAGCAGGCCTGTCCTATATAGGGCGACCATCAACATATGAGCCCCCTAATACCCTAAAACAGACAGTGTCTTCACTATAGGCATGCTTAGGCCATCCCCAATGTAGCGGGGGGTCAAATCCAGTAGATTTTTTCTCATTAACCATAGCATGAGCCTAGTGTGGACCACAACACAACAAACATTTATACATCAAAGTCGACTTTTTATTGAGGCCATCATTTTTTAATGCTTCTGTTGGGGTTACCCTTAAGACTTTTATGCATTCTGAGAATGCCAGAATCATCTTCCTCTCATTTTTGTATGCTCCCGCTTCCTAGGTTCCTCATTCCCATTTATATTTGTAACTGTATGCTGGTTTGCCTACAGGTCACGTTGTCTTCATAAGCGTACTCTTGGTAGTAGGGCATATGAAGGAATGTACGTAGTCAAAAGGGTTGGCAACCTAGGGATGCATGCGTTAGTTGGTGACCCTGGGCGTGGTGCACAGTTCATGGTCACACCTTTACTGTTTCGAGCGACAATGATGGGACTGCACAACAATGGTGGTTCCTCATAAGAGGGACCTACAACAGCTAGCCTTACCTCCCCTACATGGAAATACGGGAACGAATAGCTCCTTAAATGCCCAGCCAAAGGCCCATGCATGCCCATGACTAATGGAGCGTGCCCCTTAGGTGCCCAACAACCACTGCGACAGATGTCACCTCACCACCGCCCATCCCACTTCATGACGACACCCACATCGACGCAACAGCCTCCACATTAAATAAGGTTGTAAGGGATCGTGACGCCTAAGAGGGGGGGGTGAATTAGGCAACTTAAAACTCTAAATTAAGGCCTCTTTTTCTATCCTAGCAAAAACCTATGAAAATGATAAACTATCTAAATGTGCAAATACGGTTTTGCTAGTGTGTTGCTATCTTTGCCGCAAAAGGAGTTATCCAACCTAGGTTCCAAACCTATCAACTAGCATATCACTAAGCTAGGAAAGTAAAGCACAAACCAAGATTGCAATGTAAATGCGGAAGCTAGAGAGTAAGGTAGAGATATGCAAACTCCCGTTGATGACTCCGGTATTTTTACCGAGGTATCGAGAAGGACGCAAGCTTCCCCCTAGTCCTCGTTGGAGCCCCTCACAAGGAATCCCTCGCAAGATCCAAGCTCCCGGTTAGGTAACTCTGTGGATAGCCCCGGGCCTTCCCCACGCACAAGTGGGTCTCCGGTGTGCCTTCTGGCAAGCCTCTCTTGGACCGCTCCCCAACGTCTTCAATATCAAGCTTCCAGCCGAACTACCGCGGGCCTTGTTCCCTTCGATACATGGTGGCGGCCACACCACAAACGCGGTTGGTATGATCTCGTAAGACTACAAGCCCCTCCGATGTACAACAATGGTGCGCACAAGCACCGAGTGGTAAGAGGTGTGCAAACCTCACTAAACACTAGGCCTAAACCTAGAGCAAGCGCATAAGCGATGGTCTAATCAACCTAAGCACTTTGTGCACACAAGTATGAAATACTTGTAGGAGACATGCACATTGATTTTAGAATAAAAAATACCACTTGAAGGATGACATCACATGAATGTGAGAATCATTTTTAAAAGTGATATTCGGGAGAAATTATCTACAATTTGGACTTTGGCACATATTAGATGAACAATTGTAAAACAAACTATGTGACGTGCTCCTAAACAATTTAAACCATGTAGGTTTCCTCCAAGGGTTAAGAGTGAAACCGAGCAAGCCTACCATAAGATATACCTAGTGTATGCAAGACAAAAGATTAAACATGCAAATGCAAACCTAGGCATGAAAAGGAACTAGATACTAACTGAAATTGCAAGAAATTAAATCTAGTTACCTAACATGGGAAGGGGAATTTGGGTCCATAGTATTCACTAACCTACTTGGCAATTATCTTTACCATCATGATGCACCCCATGAAATGCACCAAAACTATGCCAAGTCTCCAAATTCCTCGTAGTCCATCGGACTTCTCACTATCCTTTCGAGATCCAAACTTTCTTGGTGCTCTTCATGTTGGAAATAATCTCCTTTGGCACCCAAATGTGTTTGGTCCATTGTTGGCTTGTTTGTTCACCTTGATGGCCACCACCTTGTCATTCTTCTTCTTCTTCAACAGATAAGGTGTGGAGGATTTCTTGTCCACCTTGTTGATGTAGGTGTTGGAGAACTTGCTTGTTTGCCTTTTGTTTTCTCTTTCTTCTTTTCTCCTCCCCCATTCTTCACCTTGCACTCATAGGACTTGTGGCCCTCCTTGTGGCATACATAGCAAACCACGGTTTGTGCTTCATCAAGCTTCTTCACTCCCTTGACGGTGTTATCTTGATGATGTTGGGCTTGCTCCGTCTTGCCTTTCACTTGAGTCAAGTCCTTGGTCAGGCGAGCCACTTCTTGCTTGAGTTGTTCATTCTCCATTGCGACCTCTTGTGTGCATGTTTCTACAACAACTTTCTCAACACAAACTTGGTTGCACAAGGGTGAGTCTAAACATAAATCATTACAAGAAGTAGAGGCATCCTTTTTAGGCATGTCAAAAATTGAACCTTTCTTTTTAGGTGCCTCGGTGGGGGTTGTACCGATGGCTTCAAGATTAGCAACTTTATTAGTTAGCTCATCACAATATTTGCACATGATTTCCATTTTAGCGAGCAAACTTTTATAATCATCTTGTGAGCTAGCTAACTTTTCCTTTAATTTTTTATTTTTCTTTATAAGTTGCTCATCATTGATTGTGCAATTATTTGTGTTTCCACTAGTCTCAAGTTGCTCAATTTTAGTAGATAGCTCCATATTAAGATTGGCAAAAGCTTCATATTGTTCAAGCAAAGTAGCATAAGCTTGTTGTGAGCTATCTAGTTTTTCTTTTAATTTTTCAAGCTTCTTTTGTTTTCTAGTGCAAACTTTAGCAAATTTAAGATTTTGTTGCACAATTTCATCATAAGAAGGTAGCTCATCATCACTATCACTATCATTGTCACTATCACTAGGGATAGGCTTTTTGTTACCTCATGCCATAAGGCACACACGTGAGGTGCTTGATGATGAGTGCTTGTGCCCGCGCCTCTTGTGGTGGTCTTCTTCTTCACTTGAAGAATCATCCCATGACCTTATTTATGTGAGGGCTTTGTCTTTGCACGCCTTCTTGTTTGTCTTGGGTGTGGTCTTATTTGGACAAACTTCCACAAAGTGCCCCAACTTGCTGTATCCATAGCATCCTTTCTTTCTTTGCTCATTTCTTTGATTGGTGAAGATGAAATCTTGAATTTGGATGGGCACACCCTTGAGATTGAGTTTTTGGATCATCTTCTCCACCTTGTTGATAAGCTTGATAGATTCTTCTTTAAGGTCGGAGGTGGAGGAGTAAGATTGATCATCATCACTTGATTCTTCGTCATCATCATCCTCATCTTCTTCTTCATCTTCACTTGAGGAGCTTGAGCTTGAGCTTGTCTCAACTTGCTTGCCCTTCATCTTCTTTTTCTCACTACATGTGAGAGCTTTGCCTTTGCTTGATGAAGAGGCTTCTTCTTGACCCATCTTGCGTGACATTTCAAATGCCACTATCTTGCCAATGACTATGGCCGGGGTCATGGTGCTCAAGTCCTCCATGTTGTGAAGGATGGTGATGATGCTTGCATATTTCTTTTGTGGTAGCACGGAGATGATCTTCCTCACGATATCCGCATCATCTAGCTTTGTTAATCCTATTGAATGGAGCTCATTGATAATTAGATTCAAACGAGAATACATATCATGAACAAGCTCATCGTCATTCATTTTAAAGGAATCATAATTTTGTTTAGCTATACAATGTTTTTGCTCACGGACATTAGTTGTGCCATCATGGAGCTCTTGGAGTTTTAACCAAATTTCATGTGCTATATTTAAAGTGAACACTTGGTTAAACACATCCATGCTAGAAGATTCAAACAAGCAATTTTTAGCTCTAGCATTGAAATAAATTTCTTTTTCTTCACTCTTTGTGGGTTTATCCAGATTCTTAATGGGTTTCATCCCATCATGAGTGACTCTCCAAGCACCCAAATCTACCACCTCAAGGTGACAAGCCATTCTAGCTTTATAGTAGGGGAAGTTAGTGCCGTCAAAGTGCGGAGGCCTAGAGGTATCCATCCCAATCACTCTAAATAGCGTCGGCTCAACGGCGGTGAAGCCAAAGGTCCAAATTGAGCCAACCAGCTTTGATACCACTTGTAAAGGACCGTGACACCTAAGAGGGGGGGGGGTGAATTAGGCAACTTAAAACTCTAACTCTAAACTAAGGCCTCTTTTTCTATCCTTAGCAAAAACCTATGCATAATGATAAACTATCTAAATGTGCAACTATGGTTTTGCTAGTGTGTTGCTATCTCTACCGCAAAAAGAGTTATGCAACCTAGGTTCCAAACCTATCAACTAGCCTATCACTAAGCTAGGAAAGTAAACCACAAACCAAGATTGCAATGTAAATGCAGAATCTAAAGAGTAAGGTAGAGATATGCAAACTCCTGTC